GATCAGGTGAAATGCAGTCTCAACCTTTAATTCCCACAGCAGAAGGAGCCTCTAAATCTCATTTCTCCATTTTTACCCTGGAATTGAACACAGCAGCAAAACAACCTCTGGACAAAAGGATTCACCTCCACGCAACGCCATGATGTTCTTCAACCCAAGCCGCTTGGCCTTCTGCAGATGCCCCGTGATGTCATCCTTGGTCTGATTGCAGCAAGTCATGTGCAGGATGGTCTCCAGCCCACAGTAGTTGACTGCAGTGTTGGCAATAATCATGGAAGATGTTTCCTTGTCAGAGCCTGGGTCCCCTGCAGGGTGCCATGTCACATCAATGAAGAGTGGACCACCTGCTCCCATACGGTCAAACCTGTGGATTTTAGAGCTGCATTAGGCTACCAGGTCACCAGGTCCCCTCTGTGCCTGGGATATCTCTCTCACTGCTGGAATGCCAACAACAGGCAGAGAGAGCTTGGATGACAGCAGCAGGAGAGACCAAGAAAAGTATTGAAACTGCAAGTGGCCAATGTAGATAAGTCATCCTTTAAGGCTGTATGAGGAGGAGCTTACAATCTCTTTGAAGAAGAGGCAAATTAAGTGTTCTCTGCAGAATAAACTTCCTCCCAGTATGCTCTATTAGACTGCCCTGTCTTCTGATAGACAGCAATGCAAGTCCCATTCCTTTTGAGATGGGAGACTGTGCTGCAACCCCCTGCTCCCAGCTTTAACTGTAGAGGCCACGAATACAAAAAGATGAACCAGATCTCTGTTGTGTTCCCAAGTGTGCCTAATGGAAGAAACAAAGGCTCCCCTAACTTGTGTCCCTCCTGCTCTGGGTTGGAACAGGCCATTCTGTTTAGAGTAAACCTGGCTCTGGTATATGGCAGTTACAAAAAGAGTTCTGAAACTCCCTCTTCTCCTCCAGGTGAGTACGCGGTGGCTCCTGGGGCTCTCCACAGGGCTCAAGGACAACCTTTAGCTCTGGGGACACCTATCTCGGGCTAAAACTGCAGTCCTCAGTAACAGAGGCACAAACCATAGTGGCTGGACGATTCTGAAAACAAGTGTTTCTATTCCAGAGACTTGGGCACGCTGTCCATTAATTAATATACTCTGCTTTTAATCGGTACTTTTCTGCTGTGTTGTCCCCCAGCACTCTGCTTCAGCCCCAGAGCATGGCAGTGGGGTTGCTCCATCTTCAGAGAGCAAGGGAGAGGGGAAGCAGTCTGGCCTTCTTAGTAACCCCACCATGACACTTAACTCTTCAGGGTCTCCAAGGAAGACAAGGTACCTGGTGTCCATTACCCTCCTCAGCAGGAAAGCACAGCCCCATTACCTGCTTCATCACCTGGAAGGGGAGACAGAGCATGGGGCAGAGCCTGCCTATGGAGCTATTTCCCAGCCCTCCACCAAAGACACTTCACCTCTCCCCTCTCTCACCCTGCAGCCCTCACCTGGAGATGAGATTGACAGCAGCGTTGGCTGTGCGTGGAGGGAAGAACTCCAAGGAGAACCACTTGTCTCCAGACTCCTGCCGCCGGCGCATCTTCTCCCGCAGCCTCTCATGACGGTCAGCGTCGAGGACAGGGGTGGAGCACCGCGAGCTGTCCTTGGAGCTCTCACTCCCACTACTGCTGCCACCGTCAGACTTGGAGCTGGAGCTGGGACTGCAGGTATGCTGGGTCTCATTGACCATGGTGAGCGCTCTGGAGAAGAACAGAAGGAGCACAGTGGGTACAAGAGAGGGGACAGAACTCAGCAAGCAGCAGTTACAGCTGGGGTGGGCAGATGATGATGAAAAAGCAGCCTATGCCAAGACCCAACATTAATCATTACCAAACAGTCCCTTTTGCCAGCCCTCACTATAAGCTGTAGTGGGGGATCTGGCGAAAACACAATAAAAAGTGTGTGTTTAGGTAGGGCTGAGAGAAATAACACAGCAGATGGCTTCGTGCCGCTTTGATGTGGCTCTTCTGTGCCTGTTGGGTCAAATTTGGCTCTTGGAAGAGTCAGGTCAACATCACTTTTGCCCTGAGCAAGCTGAGCAAGCCATGATACCCATATGCATCAGGTGAGGGCCTCTTTGATCTTGTGGCCTTGGGCTGGACATGCCAGCAGATTATTTAATTTTTTTTTTTCTACAGCAGCTGCTTCTTGGACTGTATCCATCTTCAAAGTTTCCATTCTGTTTGTTCCCAAAAGGCAGTGCTTTATAGTGTAGGTAGGAGAGCCAGTGCTAATGAGCCAGGTACACAGGAATGCACTTACTATTCTTATGTCAGAAAAAAGTGAAGAATCCCCTCTGATCAGCCCATCCCCATGATGTGGGGATGTCCCCCGTGCCGATACCACTGCACACACTCAGCTCTTTCCTTTACCTGAGCTGCTGTTCATATTCCTTTCCTCACCAATTGTAGCTGCTTGGAGACAAGGTCAGCAGGGACCATCCCCTTCTCCCTGCCTCCTAACGTGATTAGCTGTGCTCGTCTGACTTCACAGGAACAAAACAGCACTGAAAGGCAGTGGTACAAGTGGGTCTAGGATGCCTGACTCCACTTAGCTCCTAAAAGTGTTTCACCCTATGCCTTTAAAATTAGGTAGTGATTACAGATAATTAGAGAAGAGCTGCCATAAAACTTGCATCTACATTATTTGCTTAGGTACCCGCCAAAACCTAACGTGGTCCCTGGGAAGCAGCATGTTTTCTGAGCATGACATAACACGGGAGCCAGTTTTGGAGGGAAGATCTGCGTGAGCTCATCCACACTTTGTCCTTATCATAAACTCTGTAGGTTTAGGTCATCCAAGAAGACTTTGAACTCGTCTACTGTTTACACTGAGTTGCCAATCAGGCCAAAGCCTTTGGGAGAAAGTCTACTTTTACCACCTGGGGAGCTCTCCAGTTGGCAGGAGATATAAGAAAGGAGCGCAGGCCACCTGCTGCCAAGAGGAACCGGGAGACTTAAATCTCTTGTGTACCAACACAGCAGGCCATGTAAGAATCGGCAGCACAGCCCTAGTGACAAGGGAAGCAAAAGCAACAGGGTGCGCAGTTACAGCCCTGATCAAGCTCTCTCAAGGGCTTTGCCTGGTATCCACGTGGCACAAATCTGGGAGAATTATCCCAAAGCATATGTTGGTGATCAAGCTAGCAGCACAAAATCACGTGCAGTCAACTCCCAATCCCTCACTTCCAGCAAGCAGCCCACAGCAGCACAGGGAAATCAAAACCATTTTCCCAGTTTGCGTATGAATGTCTCTATAGGATGACACTTGCTGTTGAGAAAAGGGCCATATCTTACTGGCAATCTTGGACCACAAGGACAGGAGAAAGGCCCCACTTAAAGTTTTGTCTACAAGCAGCATTGGGAGCAGTTTCCTTACCATCAGATGCATCACGGATCTGCTGGCTGAAGCTTGCGGTTATTGCAAGGAGAAAAAAAGATTTTCTAAACTACAAAGCCCGTTGCAAAACAAGACAATGTTAAACACGTGTCAGGTCCGTGGTGTCAGCACTGCTGTGCCTGTCTCTGCCGCTCCGATCTGTGGCCCAGCACATCCCTGCTGACCCGTGGGCCTGCCTCTTGTGCTGATGGTGCCAGCCTGCATCACTGCAGGGGGTTTTACCGCTTCCAGGCCAGACCTGACACCCCCCATGCAGCATGGGGGTCTGTATCCTCCAAAGCTTAGTTTCCCCCCCACCCACACATGCACGCCTGCA